TCCCTGATCAGTCAAGACCTCTCTTGGGACTCCTACTCTGCTATAAACATCAACTAGAGCTTCAGCAACCCTTTCAGCTTCAATTCCTCTCAGAGCTACAGCCTCTGGGTAACGGGTGGCATGATCTACTATATTCAGAATATACCGATTACCTCGATCAGTGGCAGGTTGTAGTGGTCCCACTATATCAATGGCGACACGTTGAAAAGGTACATCGATGAGTGGCATCCTACCGAGGGGAACTTTGGTTACTCGGCCCTTCGGGAATGTCCTCTGACAGATATCACAAGAACGGCAATAGCGTGTTACATCTGCAATTACACCTGGCCAGTAGAACTCCAATAACATACGATCTGCGGTTCGCTTTGCTCCCAAGTGACCTGCCATCATGGAGTCGTGTGCCAGTCGTAACACAATGTCCCGATACTGCGATGGAACAACTAGCTGCTTCGTCTTCCGTCCTTGTATCCTGGATGAACCTTGATATTCTCTGTATATCAGACCTCGACGAAGTACGAACTTTGATGAACTTCCGTCTTGTCTTTCCTTTTCCACGCCACTTACAGTAAATTCTCGAATCTTTGCTAAACTGTCATCGCTCTGCTGAGCATCTCTGAATTCCTTTGGGTTGACTTCTCCGAGCACCTTTGGTACTTTCAGTGGTCGGTATGGCTAATTTTCCTGACGCACTTGCGCTCTAGTCTGAACTGAATTCGCCTCGGGCTCATGATACCATCCACTATCAGGTTTCTCTGCCGGCCTAACGTTGTCCATGTTACCCAACATGAGGTCGTAGATTGGTGTCTTCATAACCCAGGCTTCTACTTCATCAGCGAAATAAGGTGTATCAACTATGAACCTAGCCGTAGGTAAGTGTAATACTGTGCCATCTGCGAGCGTACACGGCTCTGTCTTTCCAGTCATTTGGTCTTGTGAGACTAAGCTCTTCCGGACTTCAGCCTTTCCACAGCCAAAATCCCTCAACACGGAGACACGCTGATTTCCAATATATCCCTTAACAACTGGCATCTTAACACCTGTCGCCATTACTCTTCCCTTTTGTCTTTAGACCTCCTGGTTGTTTACCTTGATCAGCCTTTTCTATTCCTACAGCACCAACTTTGCTCGAATCCTTCTTTGGACACTTGTTCGCCAAATGATCCGTCTTCTTACAGATATAACAATGTCTAACATTACTTCCAGCAGGCTTTACCTCCTTGTTGTCCGCCGGTACGCCTCCGGGTTGTGAGCGATTCCCGTTATTACCATGTTTGGATCCAGTGAACTTTGGCTTTACCAAGTTTGACGGATTACCTCGAGCCTCTGCGTTCTGATCTGCCAACTTTGTCATTTCTGCTAATGTCTTTGGAGCTCGTTCTTTCAAGATAAGAGTCAAATCGTTACCACAGGTTTGCAGAACCTGATCTCGAACAACGAAATCCCTCAATGCATCTAAGGTCTTTGCCGTACCAGACATTTCAAGCCACCTCATGAAATAACTGTCCAGCCTTACTCCAAACTGAGAAAATGTTTCCCCTGTCTCCGGTCTTCCAGTTCTGAAGCGCTTACGAAATCCTTCTTCTGTCATCTCAAATCGTTTAAGAAGTGCTGCTTTGAGAACATCATACATAGTCAAGAGACTGTTCTAGAGGCAGAAGTGAAAAAACATCCAATGCGCGTCCTTTCAACAATACACTAAGGTTAGGAGCCCAATGCAACTTCTTGTCCCATCTCTGAGTAGTGGCATATCTCCCAAACCGCCTTAAGAAAGAATCCATGTTATCTTTATCCTCATCAAAAGAAGGAAGTTTAGGACCTTTAACTACTCCGCTGTGAGTTGAACCATCAATAACAATTGGTTTCGTCTCCTGCATCGCTTCCTTTTCCATTAGTTCCATCTTCCTCTGGTGCTCTCTGATACTTCTTTCCTCTCTTTCTCTTTCCAACTGCATATCCATCGAAACTTTCTCTTTATCACGAGCTTTCTCCTCCTTCAGCATCTCCAACTGGTACAACCTTTCTGCGTCTTTATTCTTGGCATCTCGTTTCTTTTGTCGTTCATCTCTCTCCTTTGCCTGTTCATCTCTGACAAACGACATCAATTCCGCTCCTTGCAGATCCATATTCTTCCCTAATTCCATAAATTCCTTGACAGTAGTCATGAAAAAATCCTATCAAAAATCTGAATACGCTGGGAAAATATCTACTCTAATGTCAGGAATAAACTTTGTAAGCAACAGGGTTATTGAAAAATATACAACCCTTGCACTAACTCTACAAAATTGTAACAGTGGTAACATATAATAGGTACCTCAATCAGAACATTTCATTCTTCACCAAGCCTGCAGAGTCTTACCATCCCACCGCTGCCACCAAATTGTAACTATGGACGAGCTTGACACTGCAAGTGTGGTGTAGAATGACACTAAGACTGGATTCCAATATATACAAAATTTTATTTACAAAATATACACTCTGGTTTTGTTATTTATAAGTAGTTTAAACCTTTGCTTTCTCACTCTCACATAAAGTAAGTATAAACAGCAACATGAGAATCACACAAAGCAGATAGATATACTAATACTGACATTACACAGGTAACTATACACCAATACTGGCAAAGTCAATGTATAAGTCACTGTATGAATTCACTGCCTGGATACAGTGATCATGACAAGGTTCGTCCACCGCGGTCTGTAGTCCCCGGTCCCGTCTCCTTTTGACGACCTTAACCCTAACTCCTGTGCTGATGGGCTCACAAAAACCCATATGAGAGGTTTCACGTGACGACCAGTCAGTCCAACTGACATAAAGTGTCCACACAGAGCACGGTCCGTCCGCATAAAGTATTCACTACCCCGGTAGCTATACAGCACACAGCACTCAGTTCACACAGAACCTAAAGATGTGGTCCACACAGGACGGTCACCATAAAAATAGCTACTACCTCTGCTAGTTCTTGCAGCCCTCACAAGAGGATTAATAGTGCTTGCCTTTCATCATTGTCCCATGGTAGAAGCTACAATATATGTACAACAGACTTACTACCTATACATATATACTGAATGTCATTAAAAGGTTACATATACGTACAGAATGTCTTACTACCCATATGTATATACAATGACAATAGCGGTAAGACAAGTAAATACGCCATTTCTACCCATTTACTAAGTAGAGTATATTTGTATAGAAATATAAAAGCACGGCACAAGCCGCCTTAATATTTAGGGTAAATCCACGTGTGCGGTTCTCTCAACCGTGACGCGTACACTTGAACTCTATGCCTATTACCATTATTCCCAGTTAGATTAGAAAATGGGCAATTAAATTGGGATTGTTTATAGGTAATATGTGGTTAAAAAATATGTGTTAACAGGCTTATGTATCGCCTTGATATTATAAAGATAAACAGCACACACGCATCGTGCGCGCGAATGTAAACAATGTGCACCTGATATACAGGTATGGTCATATATACAATCAACAGGTAAAGTGACTAGAAATATTACGGATGAAAAACAACTATGTACATGTCGTTAACTAACAATGTTATAACAAATATAAAAACTCACCACAATCTGTAGTTTGTGCTTGCTTACACCTTCTCAATAGCGATTGAGCAAATCTACGTTTGGCTACTCATGACTACCTGTTGATCTCTAATCGAAACCCGTAGACGGATGACCAAAACTCCGGCTTAGTAAAATAATATTTCAATTACCCATGTTATCAATGAAATTAGGTTAACATTAACAAAAATATATATTAGTGATCGTGACATCATTACTAGTAGAGTTACACACATATGTAGAGTTGTGCAAATACTGATGACAGACTCTTTTATACTCGGAATGAATTAAATGATTAATACAATATAGTCACATACTTTTTACAGTTATATGTTATTTTATCAGAAAGTATATGATATATTACACAAAAAAGGGTTTACCCTATCATACTTTTTAAAACAGATTTTTTTACACACATGAAACGGGGACTAAAGATTTCTATACAGCACTTACAAAAATGAGATTGTCCAGATTATATACTGTATTACTTTCGCCTAGACAATTTTTCGCTGTACGCCGGTAAAATCCATTTTCGCCCAATGTTAATTTTGCTTTACATGTTTTTGATACCGGTTATTACTTTTTGCTAATATGAGATACACTTTATTATATATAAATATAGTATTCAAAAACCGTCATAGTCGGACGTTGATTATGTGACATACATACATGCATCGTCTGTCCGTCCATCCGTACCTACCTACATGTACCTTCCTACTACCTACCTACCTACTACCTACCTACCTACCTACTACCTACCTACCTACCTACCTACCTATATATATTTATATACATACATACAGTTTAAATACATAGTGTGCATTTATAGAAGGTATACCTTTTAGATTCGACTCAATTTGGATAGTGCAAATACATTTACAATAAGTTAAGGTTTTTTCACATTGAATAGGATGACCTCTCCCATGACCTTTTTATCATGTTTTCAAAGTACAGACAGCTACGGCATAGGATACACCTGGCCCTACATCGTTGGCTTATCGGAACACCCTTTGCTACATGACATAATCACATGCACGTACTACAAAGGCCATGGACGTAGATCAGGCTATACAAATTAAATATTGAAAGTGAGGCTGTCCTAACGAAAGTTCTTTGTGTCGTACACAATATCCTATGTAACATTACATGGTCACATGCACGTGCACATAAAGGTCATGGTCGTTGGTCAGGCTATACAAATCCAATAAACAATAATTTGATAACGAGAGTGCGGCTGCACTGACAATACTCCCGCGTGTCGAACTACTCTATATGTACTTTACAATAATGATAAACAAAATTTCACCAAAATCGCTTATATGGCTAATGTTTTGACACGTGTAGCATAGTTAACGGACAGTGCACCCGAAATTGATGGTTGTGTTAGAATATAAATTCTGATAAAGGAACGTTCCTTTAGAATAATGACTTTTACTGGGACACTGTATTCCATATATAACGTTCTATTAGATAGGACCACGTTGTAGGCGAAGAGCACACAAATGGTAAGGCTGCTATTTGTTATATTTATAACAATACTCTCTCTCTCTTTACAATTGATGCAGGAAAGGTGTGACATACTTTCATACTTGGTGTTCTCGTTTCTAGTGATAATAGGAGAACAAAGAAAAGTGCTGATATAGGGAGACAATAGCTAACTTATTATAGGGTCTTCCCCGAATACCAACTCTGCTTAAAATCACATGTTTACATAGGTGGTCAGTTGTGATGATAGTGAGTTATAGTCTATTGCAGTAAAGTGTACAGGTAAATTGCATAGGTAAATCAACTTCTGATAACTAATCAGATAATCAATAGCTGCTTATAATTGCAAAATAAAAATTAATATTTAGAATTCCGATCCCAAGCTGTTCTTCTGATAACTAATCAGATACTCACTAGCTACTATTAATTGCAAAAGAATCAATAATATTTAGAGTTCCGATCCCAAGCTTTTAAATGGGTAATGTATAAAACAGCAGCACACTTTGGAGAGTTATCATATTTCGCTCTGTAGTTGGAAACATCAACTTCTTTACTCAGTGAATGTGCATTTTGTATTCAGAATTTGTCATCTTTTTAGTTAAACTTGTACTTTCAGACTTGTGTGATTTCTCTTATAATTATTATCATATAAAACTTGTACTTGTGTGCTTTGATACATCAACTACAAGATGGCAAACGCTCAGATCAACGTTAGGTTCATCACCAACAGAAAGGCGGACAGAACCTTTCCCATGGGGAGAAGGAGACCGACCAACCTTGAACCACTTCTCAACAGAAGGACTTCGGACTACCAACCATCTGGAAGCTAGGCACGGAAAACTGAAGAAAAGAGTACTGCATGCCCACCCCAACATCTACACCATCATCCAGACGTTTAAGAATATACAGAACGTGAATGACATCAGCCGGAGCCAGAGAGATGCAGGAGGCACTACTCAACCCCGAAAGAAGAGATACACCCTGAAAGACCGTTATCAGAAGTATCGATGTGATGACCGCCGATTCAGCATCACAGCTTCTGAATCTGGGATAGAGTGTTTTGTGCTAGAGAGTTAAGTGATATATATAGAGAATGAGATTTGTGCTAGAAACGTAATCATTATCCTTTAGTGCTGTATTAAAATGTGTATTACTGTTATATGTATAGATTGAAACTTTATTTCATTGCTGACATTAGTATCAAAGTGGCTTGTACTAAGGAATTTTATTTTTCATATAATGTAATGCTATTTTTTTCATATAATGTAAATATCAATATTTAATGATTATTTTCTATTACTTAGTGCTGTATTAAATGTGTATTACAGTTATTATATGTATGAATAAAAACTTTCTATCCATTTTATTATTGACTTTAGTATCATATCTACAAAATGAGTTGACATTCTTAGTTGAAACAGGCTATAACTAAACTTCAAAGGAGTTCCTATATAAACACCTTCCTTTGAATGAGCCCTTATTATTGACAGTTTCACACTAACCCCGACAGGTAAGTGAACTTACTTGTGTGATCTGTAGCTTTTCTGTGTATGTAATATGTATCTATATTTAATTATTTTTTGTTAAAATTTTAAAATATTTGTTTGTGTATAAAATTGATTAAACAATTACTGTAATTATTAATCAAATGTCTTTACATACATTATACATATGAAAATTATTAAATATACACCACTAAATTAAAATTGATCAATCTGAATTACAGATGTATCATTCAATAGCATTACTCAAAATTAAAACTTAATCAAAGATTTACAAATGATATAATCATTACTTATTATGTTTTTCACATATAGTCTGTCATAACATCACTATAAAAAGATATATGGCTATCACTGCATATAAGTGCACGATTACAAGTAAAATCCTGCATTATATTGCATATTCAAAACATGAACTTATCACACAATACATACACTACTTGAGACTATAAATTATAATTTGAAGAATAGTCTTAGAATCGTTATATAAATTATCTTTATTGTAAAAAAAAAAATCAAAACTTTCCATCTTTCAACTTTGATATGTTCAAACATTTGCTAATGAAATAAACATTTTCTTATTTATATTCCTATTCGCATTGAATAGTTTGAAAATAAGTAAACATCAGTAAAGCTCAATAATTAGGAATGGTACGTGTCTGTATTTGCTAGGATTCTCTAACAAGTAACTGTTAATGGTTAACGCGAGGCAAATCGAGACATATTATGCGGAAATATTTTGTTATGAAGGTTTTATAATCAATAAGTAATTGTTGTATCATTAAATGATAAAACATTAAAGATAATATGCGGAATATTGATAAAAAATTTTTTTTTATCTTTTATTCATTTTAATAGTCTGTTAACAATTACAGAATGAAATAAGACTTTTAAAATGTCTCCCGTGGATGGGTTGGGGATTCTTATGTTAGCTGCTCTGATCAGTATGCCTAAGTGATTGTTTCAAGTTTCAGTTAAGATGTCAGTTTTAATCTAACCCTGCAAAATTTAAGAAAGTTTTTATCAATACCATTGATGCGATGTGGAAGATGCTGGATATTTTAATTATTTGGTGACTTTCTCGAGACGTCAATCTCCTTGGCCGCCTGAAGTTCGAAGCCAAGTACTCTTACCAATCAAATTAAAAACAGATCTTCAAATCGCTCTTGTTTCACTGATATACCGCGTGGACGAATTTCTGAAGATTCGTCATGTCATCAGGCTGCTTATGTTAATATTGCTATTGGGTGATACATGTACCTTAACAAATAGCATAATAGTCAGGAGTCTACCAATATGCTAAAAATATGAGCAAAATAATCATCATGTTTAACGTCTTCTTTTTTAGACTTTACATCATAGATTTATATATCACCAGTCATAAAAGAATAAAAACAATTTGCATTTATGTCGACAATGTTTTCCAGACCACCATCACGAGTTTCAACGCAAAATTTTCAATAATGTCAATTATTTTTCAGGCTACATGCTGATTTATAACTAGTTACAGACAGAAAACATTTTTCATATTTACCTGTCAAATCTCGAAGACTTAATTCGACCCGATGTTTCAGGATGGAACGCAAATTTTGTAGACTTCATATCAATGAAAAGCCCGTTTTAGTTACAGATGTACGTTTAAGTATAACGTTTTTCTCTCTTCTCCATTTTCTTTTTTAACTAGTGTCTTTTTATATCTTCATCGATATATTGTCTAATCTATCATTTGAACTTTATTTATTATTTATTTATTTAACAGCCATCATTAAACAAGTGTTTTTTAAATAACATTTAACTTTTTTTGTGCCCTGACGAAAGCGTGCAGAGGGTTTAAATCTTAATGTGGGAGCAAACCGAAGTATCCGGAGAAAACCCGCGTGGCAAGGCAGGTGACGGGGATTGAATCCCGGCCATGCGAGCCTGCTACCACTACGCCACCTGATCCATCAAATAAGTAACACACAATAGCACATGACAGCTTTTCTTTACTGGCACGAAGAAAACGTTTTCGTTGTTACAAAATGTATATTGTGAAGAACAATCATCTACACGTATGAAACAGACATTCTACATAAATGCCGGTCTTAAAGGTTATTAGAGCTTACATGTGTTTTATTGTTATTCCAGACATTAACCCTATCTTATTCTGAATCAGTAAATAACAGAGAATAGCGGAAACCGCGTTCTTTTTATGCTTTGTCTTTTCATATTTTGTTGGAACCATTGCGTTGGTGTCGATAATGGCAGTATTAATTGGCATACAATAAATTGATGTCAAGAAAAACACCGACGAAGATAGGCTTATAGTGTCTTTCAATTCGTGAGGGAGGCCAGCTAATTATATATTATGGAAACGACATTTTCAATGATATTTTGTTTAAGTGAAAGTAAGTCCGTCTGCAGTGACAGTCGTTATTATATTTTCAGAATGTTACAGTCCAGAACAATAATCGAGCCTTTTGTTTGGGGTTTTTTTTTTTTTTTTTTTTTTTTGCTCCGATTGCAATAAAGCTGAAACATATATGACGTCATTTTTTTCAAAATGGAAAAAGTCCTTACTATCGAAATTTCACCATACATACAAACAACAATATCCAGCAAAACGCCATACTAAAGTTTATACAATACACATTTATCTGTCTTTGTAATATTTACATTCATTATTAACAGACAGTGGCCTCTGCAAGCAAAGAATGCCATTTTCCAGCTTTATGGACCGCTGATAAGCCCACCAAACTGACTGATGAATACGAACGATGAGGCCCATCATATGACAAGGTATACATTCTACACGCCTAACAAAGATAAATAAAATCGGAGAAATACACAAGTTATATATGACGCAAATAGACAACAATTGAACATGGTATATATTGGTAATTAGCTTATAAGTTTGAAATATGTAAATAATGAGTATGCGTAGTTTATGTACACATATCAATTACTAATTTTCTGTCTGCTGTTTGTTGTAACGAGGGAGAGAAACAAACACAATCATATATGTTATTGTTCTGTAGTTTTTAAAAATCTGTCCTTGCATCGCAGTGTATAACAATCATGAAAACTTCAGTGCATCACCGGAAACGTTTAAAGGTATACGTAGTTGTTGATTTACGTCAATCATTAGGTTGCCCGATGTTTTTTTGCAGGCCCATAGCTGATTTCGCCTTTGTATATACTTAAAAAGAATCAGTTATGTGCTTTATTCCTATCACTACTTCAGTTATTAATTTGTTTATTGAGTAATATTATTCTTCATTTAAAAATATTCCAATATCTTAATACAGATAATTGAACATTGTTCTTTTCACTAGGACATTAACGGTATAAACTACATTGCATCAAAGATGGTAGCTAAGTCACTGGCTGCATTTTACCAACAAGAACGGCGGACTTTAAAAGTCTTAGACGTGGGAGCAGGAACCGGACTTGTGGGAGTGGAGGTTAGTATACATGTTCAGGAAACAAACTCGTATTACCGGTTTTAGACTCAAAACCCGAACACCATAACATTGCTTCCGTCCAATAATGCTGCTGGGGATTTATTACAGTACTATCACGTTAATGTGTTCAACGTTCAGAATTTGGGGGTAACGGTAATCACCCGTTGTCAGTATAATATGACCGGGTGGAGTAATTGGTAATTGTGCTTGGTGCCTTCGGTATGGTTTTGCAGTGAAAAGCAGTCAACTAATGTGATTGATTGTTTATATAATAATATTTTAGAAAACTTAAATAAATCGACCGCTAAAATATGCTTGGTTGTTTATCATCTTCTCCTCGTCTTACTATCGTCTAATATATACCAATTTAATTTAATCAGTTTTGAATAATGTTATACTACGTTATTATAACATACCGATATAATTACTACACATTGACGTCCGAAAGTTTTCCAATTTTCAGACAGTTATGACGTCATCATTTCTGCCGGATCTTTGCTTCTTGGACATTTACCGACGGATTCCTTCATTGAAGCCACACGAGCCAGGTACGATCAAAATGTACATTAACTGTATTAGTAACATATAACATTTAAATAACATACAATTTCAAACAATGTCAATGTTGTATTGTGTGTACTTAATTTATACGTCATTCTATAACGTTTTAACTGTTGAATCAGTTAAATATTTACTTTTTTGGCCATTCAAATATTGATACAGGTCCCCATATTATTTCCAAAATCCTGCAATTATGCATCGAAAATTTGTTTCAAGCATGTCGTAACCTTTGATGAATCATTTCCGAAAGTAAATTCATACATATATCTAACGAAGTTTTTATTTTATTTTATTACCTTCACAACTACATTGTATTGTATTGTAGGTGGAATCATTTGTATGATAGCTCGAACAGGAGACACGGGTAACTCCAATTTATCGGGATACCGGGATCAGTGCAAAGTCGTAACTAAGCAACTACAGAAAGACAGGAAACTAGAGAAAATCAAATGGGAGAAAGTGCAATACTACAGATCAACGGAAGGGATTATAATGGCGTATAGAGTATTGCAATAAAGTGTGTTTTAGATATTTTAACAACTACTGTTTAGTCTTACAACGCGCTGTTGAAGGTTGACCAACCCATATGTGTTGAACTCACTTCTAAAACTTTTTAAAACATGTAAATAGTAGCTTATAGTTGAGTTTCAGACAATTTTATCGATAGATCAAAAACGATTTTTCTTTTAAGTTGTAACAATTAAAGAACTTACGAAATGAATGTAATTACTCTGAAAGAATGGTTTGAAAAACAATGAATATTGAAGCAAAGGGGGAAACTTTTTACAAATTTAAAAAAATGATTTGTCCATGGTATTTTAACTGATATGAACGGATGAGATCATAGGACTTGTATAAAAATATAATATTTATCTTTTAGTCCTCGTCATTTTTGTCACGGATTTCTATTTTTGATACTCAAGCTGTTTCGCAGTGAATGCATGTTTCCTTATTATGACCGAAGGGTTGCAGGTTCGAGTCACGGCACGGCACTGCGTTGTATCTTTGAGCAAGATACTGTATCCCACTTGTTCCAGTCTACGCAGCTGTAAATGAGAACGTGGTTGTGCAGTGACATGATTGCCCTATTCCGTCTTTGCGTATTGCAGAGTTATCTTCTCTTGTGAGCAGGTATTGATTGTTACGTCATTGGTTTGTGAGGGCAACGTCATCACTTTTTGAGAAAACGACGCAATTCTTTTCTTTTCAATGCTTTCATATGACTTCGTGAGCGTTTGACATGATTTTAATGAGTTACAAGAAAGTTGGTTTAAAAACAAAACCCATGCTTGAGCATGAGAACGGTTTCATGAATACGGGTCCTGTTACATTTTCCCGAATGCATCTTATCTCACCATTTTGTTTCTTTTTCTTTTATATCTATGAGACGTTTCACACCCTGATAGTGGTTTAAACAGAAAATTCATAACTTTAGCTATTTGATCAAAATAGGAAATACCAGTTTTGTTCTGCTGATAAGAAACGTGCGAATGTTAGCGGCACGGTACTTTCAAAGATATGTAGAATTCCGTTTAAAATTAATTACACGTAGTTTTGATAAAAATTGTAAGCAAAATTTCATTAACGATTCTCTTAGACATAATATGTATGAATTCTTCTCCATAAAGTTCCAAAGCTCATCCTTTTGTGTGCATATTCATTGTCCTTTTGAAATAGGCAAAAAAATGTTTTTTCGGGTTAAAGTCTTGACTGTTTTTTGGCCATGGTAAAACTGCTTTCCCCATTTCCCTCTAAACAAGTTTCTCATTCTGATCGGGTTATGGCAAGGATCCAGATCTTGTCGAACGATTTCTTACTTATTTGGGAAACCAAACATTCGTCAGACTTGTTCAAATCAATTATAATTAGGCATGTAGTTTGGTATCTGACTGAAACCAAATTGGAATCTGACTGAATTTAGGTTACCTTCATACTGATTAAAGATACCAACAACCTTTTTACCAAATATTCCCCTTCAACACTCACCTAGATGATACACTATTTATTGCAAACAGTTTTTTTCTGAATCTTATTATAGTTTTCCGCAACAGATGAAGATGTTTTCTGTCAATGCGAGACCTAAACGCCTTTTCTTTCGTTCGAAACAAAGTACTTACCTTTAAAAATTATCGAAAACTGTCTCCGTTAGAACAGCAAACTGTTTCACCGCTGTAGTTTGAGACAGGTCAATATACGAGTCGAAAAATCGTTTTTTATATTCACGTTTTATGTTTAATGCTCATTTGCATATTACACAAAACTGTGTTTGATGTGTTAACGACCTACTTAAAAACCAATTAAAATCAACATATTTCTTTGTGTATCATATATATGATAGCATATTTAAACAAAACCAGATCATATACATAGTGTCACATATGTCACATACATCATAAAAAAAACTGCTGACTTTAACTTATATAAAACATTATTTTGATCGGTATCGAAATTTATGTACGTTTCTAACAAAGGAACATTAAATGAAACAGTTATTGCATCGCCTGTATTATCTGAAACATTTCTAAACTAAACTAATGCTACTATGTGTTATAATCTCTAAACAGAGCTGTATGGTGGTCTTCTGAATATTTTCCTTCCATTCAAACTGATAAGGATATCTCACATCACAGACTCTGATAAAAAATACTAATTTCAGAAGTTGTTAGGATCAAACACATTCACGAGCTGTATGTTTCCAGGTGGTATGCTTAACTCCTCGATTACATGATCCAGTCCGGAACCAGACACTACGTCTTAAGCATTGATATGAACATTCACGATTACGAGTTCTGTTGCAGTCTCTGTTTCTTGAATATGTCTACTAACCTCCACTCCCACAAGTCCGGTACCAGTCACTAAGCCTTACACCTTTACAGTTTGACGTGTTTGTGAGTAAAATGCACCCAACGACTTACCACTATTTTCGGTGCAATGTAATCATTGCCAAGCAACAAAAGGGTTGCGGTCTTATATAAAATAATGAAGTATACCGTTGTTTTCTTTTCCTCCTCGTAATAGCCAACAACGGATGGAACATCAGTTGCAGGATGTTTGTATTAAAATTAGTATGTAATACACATCATTTTAATGGATTCAAATTTCAATCTTTAAAGTGATATGTAAGCTCAATGTGAAATGAGTGTCTCTGTCATACATAATTTGTATATTTACATTTGCAATGGATTCGTGAATCCGTTCTCATGCTCATGGAGGAATTCTGTGCTCAAACCAACTTTCTTGTATCTCATTAAAAGCTTTTGTGTAGAGGTCACTACTCCGCAGGGTCTCCCACATTACTCGCCTCTTACGATACATGCAGTGATAACAGCTGGTGTATGATAATGATCCTTTTTCTACAACCATTGTTTCACCTTACTTAGCAATGCTACATGTATTATATAACGATTTTCAAAAATCAAATTATTGAGGCCATCTTGAAGACAGTTGTTACCTTATCAATTAGTTAAGTTACGATTTCTAATGTTGAATTTAGAGTGAAGTATATTTCAAGATATAGCAATACAAAACATGTTTTAAAGATACACATATAACAAACGAGTTATATAGCTTGGTTGGATTTTTTATTCACAACTTTATCAGATTTTGCTTCAAATATCAGCTTTAGAAACATAGGTATCACTTCCCAATAACATGTGAATAAAATGTGATAATAGTTGGAACTAGAAAATCAAATTCGTCATGAGGATATAGCCACTAGCTCTGAGGTGTATCATGGGTGCGGAGGTTGGTGCAAAGGTACGGGTAATGTTACGCACTTGTGCCCTTACACAATACCCAATTATCTTTACCATGCTATTTCCCGTCACCTGTGCCTGATTCACACGTCCTGTTGTCACTCTGGTGCTTCCTGCACAAGTGAACGGTTCTCAGGTAAGTGCCATCATTATGTACTTAGAGTACTTAGTGTTATTTTAAAGTGAACATGCCAATCACAAAGTGTTTACGCCCCGCATTTCCATCAAAACAATATTTCTAACTCGAATAGGAAACAGTACGAAAGGTGCGGCCTCCGAGGTCGCTCTTCATTATACTCCATAACGTGATCAATGCCTATGATTCTCATCGAAGTGTAGACGAGTTCTAGTTATTGACTATGTGTCGAATTAAAAGTGTTTCTGATAAAGGTACAGTACATTACATGATCGTTTCTATGAATGCTATAGATTGATCATTCAGCGGTGATAGTATTGAAGGAAAATGCAGAAAGGACGGACATGCAAATCAGCATACTGGGTAGAAATATAAGCTTTAATGCAACTTATCCGAGTCTCGATATTTTGTCTCGAGATTTCACAGCTTATGCTAATATTTATCACGTGCTTGAAATGAAAGAAAGTGAAAAGGCGGCATCTGTTGTATAATTTACTGAAGCAATTTTCCGATACATGTAGCAATTGATAACTAGTCATTAAATATAAAACTTCAATTGTTTTGTTCCAGGTGTTGTCAATTTATTAAGTATGTTATCAATAACATTTATAATGTTTGTTATTTTATTGCCAAAGGAACGTAATGTGGTATATAAAGCATCATTATACCTCATGTGTATACCAGTGTGTCTGATTGGTCACATGACGGGGCAATAAAGCAGCATGTCACCCTCACAAGCTCAAGTTTCCCCAATCATATTTTTCTTATTCGGAGGTGTCTTCGGCAGTATGTTTCAATGAGGTAGCACTATAAAGTCGGCATCAGTCCCGCGTTATCACAAGGAGACAAACACGAACATATCGCAGCCTCCCAAAACACACACGCATACACTACACGCATGCATTTTGCACACAGGGGAGGCCGTCCTTAAATGACCATAGCTGTTGATAGGACGTTAAACGATACTAAACCAAACCAAACTCTAGAAAAATCAGCAAGAGCCACGACAACCTAGTTCAGAAGGAAGCGAGCAGACGACCACTACGACGTTAGCCTGATCGTCTCTAAATTTGTTAATGCCTTTTTATTAATCTATATATTCGGTTATCTTAATTATGTTTTGCCCTTGCAGTAGGGAATACTGATTCTTTGTTTCCACGAGGTTAATCATGTTTCACGAGGGCGAGGGACAACAAATATATAAAGTGTTCCTTCGCCTCGGACAGTTCTATCGGCACAGGACCACGAACTTCATTTCTAAATTTAAAGTATAACCAAAATATTACAACGTTGAGTAAAACATAGCTACAAATAAAGTAACTAAATATAAGGAAAATGTGCAGATATGCTTATTATTTAAGGAACAACCAGGATTATGTTTTGTGTCATACGGTATATACTTAACAATAATTATGGTTATCCCGTATGATTTAATTTAAAAGGCAGACAACACTTCTTAATTCGTAGTTAGTAAATATTTATTTATTTCTAATAAAAACAAAACAATTTTGCACAAACACAATATTGCGCAGTAATTTCATCGCCAAGGAACTTCAACCAATCAGAAGTAAGAATTACAAATATTGCGCCAAACAACGCAGTATTCGACCTCATCAATTTTTGGGTAGCCTGGTTTTTTAATACGGTACAACCTGAAAAACTCTACCATTGGGGAATAGCCAAAAATGAAATCATATCACAATCGTCTAAAATCGACTTAAGTGTATTTACGAGTCAATGGCCAATATGAATACCTCTCATTTAATTTCTCCACAGATTATTGTATAACACTGCTATTCTACCATATCAGTTTTATTGCCTATAAAATATAAATTCATGAAATAAGCTTACATTAAATAATAATACATTGTATGGTGATCACGCTCATAGTACAACTTTATGTAATTATAAAAGAAA